AGAATTATAGCGCGACTGTTGAAATTAAGTGTATCGTAAAGTTGTATTCGAAAAGAATAAACCAGTTTTATTTAAGAAAGGACTTGTGTCGCTAAAGTTTAGTCGGAAAGAATTTAAGGAAAGATTAACTAACGACTGGAGGTGTAACAATATTGTATATCTCTCATTCAGGAGGATACCTCTATGGTCTACAACTGCAGTCGCTTGAACTGGAAAGTGACAAGAACTTTCTTACTTCACTGGAAGAAACAGGGTGGTGAATGTAGTGGAGAGTCTGGAGGAACCTTCACACTGAAGACAGTGCAATGGATGACCACGAAACCCTATTTTGAAAAGCAGACCAAACCCGATTTATTCAATCTAAGGAATGGCATCTTGGGCAACAATCCCCTTATGCTTTACGCATGAAGTCCATGGGTTTGTATGGTCTGGAACATGCATATTTATAAAGCAAATATGTTGCGAGGAATAACCTATGAGCAATCTTGTGGAACACTCCATCTCTAGTTTATGTGACTGTAATGAGCAGTATACATTTTGTGGCCATGGAAATTATGAAAATGAAGTCAACATGGCCTTACAGTGCAGGTTTTAGTATAATTCGAAGTGATGGAAGTATACCTGGACAGGAACCACTCTCCCCAGAGTGGGATCCTGTTCAAAACATGGGACAGGACCCTGAAAAATAATATACATAACCAAAAAAGAAAACTTACTCAGTTACTGTCTCACCAAAGAGTGAGGGATGGCAACAGGTGGAAGATGGTACTCTGATGAGGAAGAAACAGCTACCAAAAGCAGATCATGGGAGATGAACGTATGAGGTGTAGTCCCAATGATCAACAGATAAAGTACTTCCAACACATGACAGGATTGAGATGCAGGTAAAAGGGAAGGTGCCTGATCACAGTGAAGACATCAGGAATTGATTACAGAAAGAAGGAGACAGTGAATAAAAAACAATTAAATCACAAGCTGAACCTAATGGGTAGGAGGAAAAGTGAAGAAAAATCACAAACAGAAGAGTGGTGCAATGGAATGAAACTGCAGGAAATGGAGTCAATGGAAAGAAACCTTGAAAACAATGAAGCAACCCAGACCATGTATGGAACAGAGAAAGACATGTGGATCCAACTGAGAATAAAGATGAGAGATGACAAGAAACAAAATGACGAAAAGAGTATTCAACATGAGCCCCGAAAGTGTAGGTTATTAAAATCGATCCAGAACAAGAACATATCAAGCCAAAAAAGCTAAGAAAACCAGATATATGCCAGCCAGGAAGGAACAATCAAAAAGACTTGACCCGAAGCAACATGGATGATTAAAATTTGCCCTAGGTAGAAGACTGACAGAATGAGAAAAACCAAAGTTGTAAATTGTATCTAATTCTGTCTGAATGCATTGACAATGAGAGCTAGTAAATGATGAACCAGAGACCAAAAACAAAATAGGTAACTTGGAACTGAGAAATAATTAAAACACCTCCCATGGAGGAGTACCACACTGGAGGCAGAACCACTAAAAATTTGAGGATCAAAATGCCGCTCTTTGGGAGAAAGTGTGTTGGGACTGCAAAGGCAATCTGCAACGAGGGCAAAAGCACCTGGAACATGACATGCCAGGAGACATATGTCAAGTATGTGGGTTCAAAAAGTGAGATCCACTGTCTACCACAAAGGGAACAAGAAGGAGTGCCCCCTTGGCAAGTGAAATACGCCACCACCATCAAATAGCTGAAATTAAACAAGATTAGTCAAATCAAGACAAGAGGAAGAAAGTTAAGTAAAGCATGTTGGACTGCCAGAAGTGCCAGAGTGTTAACAAGGTAAGACCTTTCAACCATAGCCTTCTGCGGATCAAACCCCACAATCCCCAACCTTGGAGATGAGCATCATGGAATTGAAACAAATCAAGACGATAATAATGGTTGGAGATGGCTTGAATGGGTAATGAAGAAAAACTTTAATATAAGTTTAACATAACAGCAAATGTACAACATTTCAACAAGGTTTTGTCATCATCAGGTACAAGTAATTTACATTGACACGGATATATATATTTTTACAGTATTGAACAAAGAAGTCACATGATCGGAACTGTTGCAAAACTTAGAAGAGGTATCTAGGCACCCCGGGGTGTTAGTTTAGAGTGGAGTTGTTTTGTTCAGTTAAGATAGATTCCTTGATTTTTCGTTTATTTATGTTGAGTTTAAAATGACTGTGTTTTTAATAGATATACTATGGTTTTTTGAGTTGCAATGGTGAAAAATATGAGAC